ATTTTGGCAGAGACTTAAAGGCAGGCAGAATAAGGAAGCTTCATAGTGGAAAAAAGGGAAGGCTTCAGGTGTGCCTTGATTGGAAGCTGTTAATGTGGGGAAGCTGTGGGCAGTTAAGTAGAAATAGGACATCCTATGTGATTGGTTAGGGGAGCATATTTAGCTTTCTCTGGAGGGTCCTAAGTTGGAAGTTTGGATTTAGGAAAGCTGTCAGTTATTAATCAAGTCCTGGCCCTTGGGGGTGGATTACTACAGGGGCTATTACTTGCTTCCTGGATTGTCACTGGAGATAGTAGTATGATTCCTGCAAGTCGGACTTACATCAGGCTGGCTTCCTAGGTGGTTACTGGAGATAAGGGTTGGTTTCCTGGGCTGGGTGCTGCAGGTTGTGAGTCAAAGTTCTATTTTCATATGTGGTCTGGTCATACGTGTTTGTATATTCAGACTGTCAGAGGGTGGCATGTTACCCACAGGGCTCTTATGAGGAGACCTCGCAGGCTTCATTGTTCTTGTACAAATCTGGGCCAGTCCTTAACACCCATCTGCTTCCAACAGGACTTTTGCAGAGAATGGCAGTGGCTGCCTCTTATTTTGTCAGGGCACTTGTGGATATCATGTAAGTTTTTGCTGAAGTCTCTTGGCTCCAGGGTCTTATTTCAAAGCTGAAACCAAAGTAACATTTTGGGCCAGAAGGAAGCAGGTGTTTCCCATTTTAGAATTTCAGAAGAAGAAGGCTCTAAGAATGTGGCTAAGTGGAGTAAACATGGATAGATGGGAGCTAATTATATAAGTTTGGTTGCCACAAGCTCTTAATCTATGCAAATATGCTTCTGAGAAGAAATGTTAATTTGGAGACTGGGAGAGTCTTTCTGCATGTATGATACTGAATAAATTACTAATCTTCCTGAGGTCTTATACATAAATTAAAGGCAATAAAACCTGGCCTCAGTGATTTTGCAGATAACCAACCCTCCTGGAGATACCACGTGTGCAAAAAGTATTCTGAGCCACTTTCTATGGTAGTATGGTCTGCACTGTGCAAATTTCTCCTTTGCTGGGCTGCCTTCTCTGCAGCCAGAGCTCATATCAAATGCCACTATGCACAGGTGGGCATCTCATGCTGGCTCTTAATCTGTGGCATGTGCTGCCCCTAATTTTAATTGTTCAAGTCTCTTTACTACCTACAACATGGATTGTAACCCTTGGAATAGTATCAAGGTCCTCCAGATCTGGTCCTGGCCTTAGTCTGTCCCTAGTGCTCTAAACAAGTCCTTACTGTCACAAAACCCAGATATGTACTCATTGTCCCCTGAACATACTAAGTATGGTTTCATTTTGGCTCTCACAGTTTACCTTTGCCTGGAATCTGCATGGCTCCTTTCCTCTCCCCAACTCACCACTGACCCTGCTTTGCTCTGGGTTTTATCCACGAAAGGCCTGATTCAAGCCTCACCTCCTCCAGGATGTCTTCTCTGACTGTATCAGACCACGGTGATCTGATTCCTTTTATTTCTGAACAATTCTCCCAAGGCACACCTGGCTTTCTTATTCTTTTGGTAAGTGGGTAAAACTATACATGATGTTTTGGTTATCTAACTATATCATATTCTGCATCTTCCAATGGACAATAAGCTTCTGTATGTCAGCAACTTTTTTTTTTCAGACAGGGTCTCACTCTGTTTCCCAGGCTGGGGTGCAGGGGCACAATCATGGCTCACTGCAGCCTCAGCTTCCCTAGGCTCAGGTGATCCTCCTGCCTCAGCCTTCTCAGTAGCTAGGACTACAGGTGTGCACCACTATAGCTGGTGAATTTTTCTATTTTTTGTAGAGACAGGGTTTTGCAATGTTTCTCAGGCTGCTCTCAAACTCCTGGGCTCACATGATCTGTCTGCTTTGGCCTCCCAAAGTGCTGGGATTACAGGTGTAAGCCTCTGCACCCGGGCTCAGTGACTGTTTTACTGCCTTATAACCTCACTGCTTAGGATTATGCATTGTATGTTTCAATGCTCAATAAAGGTTGGTGGAGTACAGTGATGAAACAATGTGTCATGTTGATTAATGTGTTAAGCATATTAGAAAACTACATGAACTAGTCCCTGCTGGTACCAACAATGAATAGTTCCCTGAAACCATTTTAGATCCAGAGGGAGGGGGTTTGAGGGGCTTAGCTTTTATTATAGTTGCCTCTGCAGTAATTCAAGAGGAAAAAAGAAAAGCTTTAAAAATTTTATCGTAACAAACACATTGTAGCCACTGCATGCCCTGTGGAGGTTTCAGGTCTTGGAACACAGCTAGGCAAAGCCCAAGCCATGGCCCTCAGAGGGTTCTGACAAATGGAATGGGGCAGGTGTGGGGAGCAGGTGGCAAGCCCCCATGCAGGTGCAGGGAATCTTTTTGAGCAGAAATGAAAAATCCAGCAGGGATGCATCAGAAGATGACTAGGATTCTGGGCAGAATGGGGGTGAGGAGCAAGACCAAATAATGGTGACTGTCACCCATCAGCTGGGCCAACCCTGGCAACAGTGAGCCCAGGATTGTGTGTTGTTAAGAGGCACAAGCAGACAGGGAGACTATTGTGGACTCTGCCGGCAGCCACCTCCCTGTGTCTGGGGGTTGGAGGCTGGGCTTCAGGTCTGGGGAGGGGACATTGCAGGACAAGACAGGCTCTTTCCTAGAGAGCCAGAGCTTCTATCCAGATCAGCAAGAAAAGGCTCAGACGTGGAGAAATATCATGCGGGTGTTTTGAGGTTGGGGCAGGGGTGATCTTGTTCTCAGGGATAAAGTAAAAGCGCAGATGCTCTGGGCCCAAGTTCAGAGTTGGCTTTGAGGATGTGAGTGAGGATGACTGTAGAAATAGAAAGGATGTGGAGCCCGGTGATGCTGCACAGCTCCAGGGACCACAGAAGCAAAGCAACTTCAATATCCAAAGTCACAGTCCTTGTTAGCAGCAGATCTAGGCTTCGAGCTGCAGTCATGTGATCCTTCTAGTCGGGGGCAGAGCATTTGTTGTAACTCACCAGGGTTTTCATACAGTCTTCATTAGGGCGCTATTTCTATGGTGGTGCCAAGACAGTTTCAGGGTGTGCTCTGAGAGTGAGCGATTAAGGAAAAAGGATTTAACGAGAGCAGATATCCATTTTCCTGCTTAATATTGAGAGGCTTTTGTGTTAGATCTTGATCAAAAAGTCTGACCTTGAAAGACATCTGCAGTTCAAAGATGATGACTTTGACAATGACAATGACCATTACGATTTCAGTTCCTCTCTGAAGAGCTGTAGAGAAGAGAAAATAAATGCCTGGAGTTCAAACGTAAGACAATGGCACCAAAAATCCATCAAAAAAAGAAAGTTCTCCTCAAAAAGGGGATAACACAATACCCGGGGCGGGGGGAAATTATGCCTTCAGTGAGGGATTTCATAAAGAGTTATGACATTTCAGATTCTCGGGAAGTTAAAATAGTTGTATCTCCATTGTGATATGCCCTTTAGAAAATCAATATAATTTATTGTGCCTCTTCAGGGCCCACTTTTTATACTTTGAAGTCTACAGGACAGAGTGAAGGAATAGAAACCCATTTAAGATAGCTCGAATAATAGAGGGGTGTATTATATTTTCAGAATCCAAGGACGGAAATTGCAGGGCATCTCAGTGGAACTGGAAATTCAGGAGCAAAGGCTGTTTTGTCTTCTTGCAAGGACCTTTGTGGACACTCAGGGGCCTTATAGTCTCACTTCTCTCTGCTTCTCTCCTACCTCCCTCTGTCTCTTTCTTCTGCTTACAACATGACTAGCAGGCTAATTACATGGCATTAGTCTGACTACATTCTTTGTGTACCTTGGGTTGGGTTTTTGAGAGACATACTCTGACTCAGTGCAGTCTAGTGAATGACTTGCTGTGAGTCAGATGCCAATCAATTTTGCTGGGGGAGAAGGTGATGCTGTAGTTAAGGAGGAAGGAGCAAGGCAGCAAAGGCTTACAGGGTACATCCCTTTGGATGGGGTATAGGTGGGGAGGGGGAGGCAACAGTCAGTATCTGCATTATAGACTATCATGGCAACAACAATGATGCTATAATTTGGGTGTTCCCCCAGGCCGCCTGCCATACAGTGGCATTGCTGTGCACACTTGAGAAGACTTTATGAAGTTACCATGCACAGCTTATCATTTTGGTGGTCCTGTTCCCTCAGCAACCCCGAGATCCCAGTATCTTCCTAGACATGCAGTCTTCTAGCTTCTTGAGCACAAAAATGATATTCCTACAAATGGAGTCCAGTCACCTAGTCAAATGACACTGGCCAAGGGAGAACTCAGAGAACGCATTTATTTGGTCTTGCATTTGACATTAGCTTTCTTGCAGTGGCTAAGGGTATAGGCGCTGGAGCTGTACCACCAAATCCAAATCCTGGCCCCACTATGCAATAACCATATGGCCTTGAGCCAGTGATTTAGCCTCTGTAAGTCTTCATTTCTCCACTTGTGAAAAGCGCATGATAAAACCACTCAGTGAGAAATAAAATACCCAGGTATGGTGAGAAATATGCTCTGAAAACAGTTTTTGATTCCTAGAAAGTACTCAGTAAATGTCACCCATGATTACTATCATTATTGCAAATCTCTCTTTCATGTCCTATGGACCTAAACGAATTGAAAGCTCTAAGTCAATGACTTCCCCACATTCCTCACAGCTCTTGACCTAACTCCCTCCCTAGACCTTTGCACGTACGTAATGTTAACAAGGGCTTAGTGACTAATCAGTTGGTTTGATAATATTGTGCTTTGTGCTCGGAATTGAAAAGGCTCTCACGATCAAAGATAGAAAAGGATGCTAAGAGTAAAACCTTGACCTGAATTTGAGCAATTTGCTAAGTACAAAGAGTATATCTTTCAAACCTTTGTGTGTGTGTGGATAATTTGTGTATATGTCCCTCCCCTGAAATATTAATATAAAGGGCACCCAGGATGTTTCTCCTGTTTCTTTGATCCCTATCAATACTATCAAAAATTGTCATCTTCTATACTGAAGAATGTTCAATCTGTTCCTTGAGACTGAACACAAGACCAGAGAGCTGGAAAACCCCACAAGAAGCTTTAACACAGATTCACTCTTTCTTGTTCTTTTCTCCTCCAGGAGCCAAGCTGTTCCCAAAGATCATGAACCTGTCTTCTGAGCACTGCAACATATCAGATTGGCTGAGGCTAGAAGCAACAGTGAAGGCCTCTGTCTATGTGGTCACCTTCTCCTTTGCCACAGTCATCACTGTCATCATTATGGCAATAGTGTCACAGAATTCAAAGCTGCGGGGAGAGGCCCGATACATCCTCCTTTGCCAGCATCTGCTGTGCATCTCTTCCTACTGTGGCCTGGGGATCATTTTCCAAGGAATACGGGCACTCCTGGCCAACAGCCCCCTGCTGATATGCTGGGTGGTGTTTGGAGTCAAGCTGAGCATTGGAGATGGGATTCTCTTCACGCTGGCCTTGATGGCTCTCAACACTTATGTGGCGATTTGCTGGCCACTGAGATATCTGTCCTTTGTAGATTCAGTTAAGTATAGGATTCTGGCTGGGACTTGGATGACCATTATACTCAAGAATGTTTGCTTGTTCATCATAGAGGGCACTAAACCCACTGTGGTTGCAGTTTTAAAATCGGAACCCCTTTGCCCTGTGATCTTGAACAGCACTCCTGCCAGGGTCACTGGCATGGTTTTTATTTTCCTTCTTTTTTCTGTCATTCTTATAAGCTACTCTCTGATATACCACAAAGGGAAACGGGCTGGCCATTTTAATAGGTCAAATATCAAAGCAAGGAAAACAGTCCTTATTCATTTAGTGCAGATAAGCTTACATATCATACCACCCCTGATATTCATAGGTTTGGGGAAGGTGTGTGGGGTATTTTTCTTTGCTTTGAATCTGGTGGTTTTTGGCATTTTTGCATTTGCCCAGTGTTTTAACCCTCTGATCTATGGGCTCTGGAATAAAGAGCTGCAAAGTAGATTACACCACTGGATGTGTTTTCAGTTATGGTGTGGTCACACTGCGAACAGCACAGGGCCAGTTTAGAAAACAACTCAGCCATTTGAATCAATAACTTTAGTCCTAATGGTTTCATCAGCTAAGGCTGAGGTCCTGTCTTTCACTCAACCTAAAATTGGTGCCTTCATTTGATTTTGAAAGCAATATGAGTAAGTCAAAGTTATTTGTTTGGCTTACAAACTTGACTACTGTGTACACTGAATTGGCCTCAGTGAAATCCTTTTAATGTCTTTAACTTTAAACCCAGGCCAGTGTTTTCAGTAGTGTGCTCTACTGTGTTTGAGCAGTTAGGCAGATCTTGGGGATATACTTGTTTTTAGAAACTGAGAAATAGTCCATGGTTAATGCGAAGGGAAGAAGTTTGGCTGTTCCCATTATGCTAATTAAGGGTAGATTCAGCTACAGATAATAAAAATACAGCAACAAAATAACAGTGGCTTCAAAAAGTTAGAGATAGATTTTTTTTCCTTTTTCTTTAAGACAGGGTCTGGCTGTATCACCTAGACCTGAGAGCAGTAGTGTAATCACAGCTTACTGCAACCTCGACCTCCTGACCTCAAGTGATCTTCCAGACTCAGCCCCCCAAGTAGCTGGGCTTACAGGCACATGCCCCACACCTGGTTAATTAAAACTAAATTTAATTTTTTGTAGGGTCAGGGTCTCACTGTTGCCCAGGCTGGCCTCAAACCCTTGGGCTAAAGTGATCTTCCCACCTCAGACTCCTAAAATGTTGGGATTACAGGTGCGAGTCACGGTGCCCAGCCATTTTTCTTTTCTTATGTGAAACAAACCTGGAGGTACATAATCCAGGCCTATGTGGCAGCTCTGCAGTCAACAAGCTCATTCTCTTCTGCTGTGCCATGATTACTATGCCACTTCATGACTCAAGATGGCTGTTAGTGTGCCTATCATCACATCCACACTCCAATCAACAGAAAGCAGGAACGAAGAAAGAAGGGTCTGCACCTTTCTTCTGTAGACACTTCCTAGAAGTCACACAAAATACTTACTTTTTCTTATATCAAACTGGTCAACATTTAGTCACATGGGTATGCCCAGTGATATGGTTTGGCTCTGTGTGCCCACCCAAATCTCATGTTGAATCGTAATTCCCAATGTTTGGGGAGGGACTTGGTGGGAGGTGATTGGATCATGGGGGTGGATTTCCGCCTCGCTGTTTTTGTGACAGTGAGTGACTTCTCATGAGATCTGGTTGTTTGAAGGCGTATGGCTCTTCCCCCTTCACACTTTCTCTCTCCTGCCACCGTGTAAAGAAGGTTCTTGCTTCCCCTTCACGCTTCCGCCATGATTGTAAGTTTCCTGAGGCTTCCCCAGCCATGCTGAATTGTGAGTCAATTAAACCTCTTTCCTTTACAGATTGCCCAGTCTCAGGCAGTTCTTTACAGCAGTGTGAGAATGGACTAATACAGAAAATTGGTGCCAAGAAAGTAGGGCATTGCTATAAAGATACTGGAAAATATGGAAGCAACTTTAGAATTGGGTAACAGGCAGAGATTGGAACAGTTTGGAGGGCTCAGAAGACAGGAAGATAAGGGAAAGTTTGGAACTTCCTAGAGACTTGTTGAATGGTTGTGACCAAAATGCTGATAGTGATATTGACAGTGAAGTCCAGGCTGAGTAGTCTCAGATGGAGATGAAGAACCCCCAGTAGGGAACTGGAGTAAAGGTCATTCTTGCTGTGCTTTAGCAAAGAGACTCGTAGCATTTGTGCCCCTGCTCTAAAGATCTGTGGAACTTTGAACTTGAGAGAGATGATTTAGGGCATCTGGTGTAAGAAATTTCTAAGCAGCAAAGTGTTCAAGATGTGACTTGGAAAAGTGTACCCTCGTATGTGAAGAAAGACATGGTCTGAAATTGGAACTAATATTTAAAAGGGAAGCAGAGCACAAAAGTTTGGAAAATTTGCAGCCCGACCATGTGGTAGAAAAAACCCCTCTTTTTCTGTGGAGCAATTCAAGGCTGCAGAAATTTGCATAAGTAAAGAAGAGTCAAATATTAATAGCCAAGACAAAGGGAAAAACGCCTCCAGGACATTTCTGAGACCTTTATGGCAGTCCCTCCCATTGCAACTCTGGAGGCCTAGGAGGGAAAAATGGTTTTGTGGGCCAGGCTCAGGGCAATGCTGCTCTGTGCAGCCTTGGGACATGATGCCCTGTATCCCAGCTGCTTCAGCTCCAGCCATGGCTAAAGGGGGCCAAAGTACAGCTTGGGCCATGTCTTCGGAGGGTGCAATCTCCAGGTCTTGGTGGCTTCCACGTGGTGTTGGGCCTGCAGGTGTGCCACAGTCAAGAGGTGAGGTTTGGGAACCTCCACCTAGATTTCAGATGATGTATGGAAATTCCTGAATGTCCAGACTTATGGCTGCTGCAGGGGCAAAGCCCCCACAGAGAACCTCTACTAGGGCAGTGCAGAGGGGAAATGTGTGGTTGGAACCCCCACACAGAGTCCCCACTGGGACACTGCCTAGTGGAGCTGTGAAAAGAGGGCCACCATCCTTCAGACCTCACAATGGTAGACCCACCTACAGCTTGCACTGTGCACCTGGAAAAGCCACAGACACTCAATGCCAGCCTATGAAAACAGCTGAGGGGGCTGTGCCCTGCAGAGCCACAGGGCTAGAACTTCCTAAGACCTTGGGAGCCCACCCCTTGCATCATTGTGGCCTGGATGTGAGACATTAAGTTAAAGGAGATTATTTTGGAACTTTAAGATTTAATGACTACCCTGCTGGGTTTTGGACTTGCATGGGACCTGTAGCCCCTTTGTTTTGGCCAATTTCTCCCTTTTGGAATAGAAGCATTTACCCAATGCTTGTACCCCATTGTATCTTGGAAGTAACTAACTTGTTTTTTATTTTACAGGCTCATAGGTGGAAGGGACGTGCCTTGTCTCAGATGAAACCTTGGACTTGGACTTTGAGTTAATGCTGGAATGAGTTAAGACTTTGCAGTACTATTAGGAAAGCATGATGGTGTTTTGAAATGTGAAGAGGACATGAGATTTGAGAGGAGCCAGGGGTAGAATGATATGGTTTGGCTCTATGTCCTCACCCAAATCTCATATGTTGCATTGCAGTCCCCAATGTTAGGGGAAGAACCTAGTGGGAGGTGATTGGATCATTGGAGACAGATTTCCTCCTTGCTGTTCTCATGATAGTGAGTGGATTCTCATGAGATCTAGTTGTTTCAAGGTGTGTGGCACTTCCCCCTTTGCTTTCTCTGTCTTCTGCCAGCATGTAAAGAAGGTGCTTGCTTCCCCTTCGGCCTTCCACCATGAGTGTAAGTTTCCTGAGGCTTCCCAGCCATGCTTCCTGTACAGCCTGGGGAACTGGGAATCAATTAAACCTGTTTTCTTCATAAATTACTCAGTCTCAGGTAGTTCTTTATAGCAGTGTGAGAACAGACAATACATCTAGCTTACAGGGAGAACAGAAATAAATTTTAGCTGGTTAGCTGTGTCCTCAGCCAAAAATTGGGATTCTTAATACTAAGGAAGGAAGAATGGATATCAAGAGGCAAAATTGTTTCAAGGATCAGTTTGTTTCAACCAAGTAAAGTATAAAGAAAGACAGTGCATGGATTATGATCACCACAAACATATACTCTGCTTTTCAACATGACATACAAATACAGAATTAACTGTTCAGGATGCCAGAGAACTTTAGTTGTGTTATATTCACAGTTTTCAAAGAGAATGGTATCAACGAGAACACTGACCTGGTTTAAACACGGAAATCAACTAATAACTTTAAGCAAGTTTGAGGCAGCAGCATGAAATATATTCTTTCACAGAAGTAGATGTGTGGCATTTCTTTAGAGAAAACATCTATTTCTGGATCAGTCAGGATTCAGTTCTAGAAATAAGAATCATCACCCTAGGTATTTTAAGCAGAAACAACCTAATACAGGAATCAGATGCTAACAAAGTCCCTGGAAGGCTGAAGGACTGAAATTGGGACCCCACTCCCCATGCCTGATTGATGTCAAGAGCAAACCACTGCAGCCAGCATGATCTGGAGGTTAAGCAGCTGCCGCCACCACAGCTCCTGCTGCACCTTGACACTCGTGCCTTTGTGACTTTGCTTGCCAGAAGAAATAGTTAGAGGGAGACGGCCTCCACCCTCTTCCATCTTCCAAATCTTAACATCATTGCTTCTAACTGGTAGAACCTAAGTGGCATCCAGATCTCCAAAAGTAAAGAAGTCTGGGAAATGTAGTTCTGAGTTTCATAGATTTGGCAGTGCTGGAAGTTACAACAAAAGGAGGGTAAAATGAAGATTGAATGAGCCAATCCATAGGATCTGCCATCACTGCATTTAATTTTACCTACAGGCAACAACAGCAGCAAAAACAACAGATAGCATTTATTGAGCAACAACTGTGACCCTGACATGATGCAAGCTATTTTATATACAATATGTCAAATCCTCACAACAATTTAATATATAGGTATAATTATTTCTGATTTAAAATGAGAAAAAGCTGAGGCTTACAATGGCCTTACAAAAACCTAGGAGGTTGGGGCCTTGTCTTATACACTACTTGGCCCAAGCTGATCATTTCCTCACTGTTGAGAGTTGGGCCAATTGCGTGGGAAATTCAGGCCTCGATTCTCCACTGTGTTTTGGATGTGGACACCTGGATCATGGAAGAAAGCCTTTTTCACCCATTGTTTTGATTACATTATCCTGTCCTCAGGCCTTCCTTGTTTTCAGGCTCTAGTGGTTTCTACTACATTTTGATTTCAAGTTTTCTTGCTTCTCTCTAGGTGTTCTAAGCCTTGCCTCTCTCCAACACCAATTCTGAGAAAACAAAGCATCACTTTTTCTTTTCCAGTGTTCAGGTATCTTTCCAGCGAAGGCATCAGGTCTTAGTACCTTTGTCCCCCAAGGGACCCAACACAGGGCCTGGTGGACTGCAGGCCCTCAGATTAAGAAAAGGATTCATCAACCAATAAAACATAGCTTTCTACAAACCCCTTGCCCACAAAAGCCAAGCTCTCTCTTTATTTTTGTTAACATTTTTTTTTTTTTTTTCTGAGTCTGCTTGCTAGGGAACTGTTGAAATATTAAGCCATCTAAGAGCAAAGGATATCTTTGTTCTCCAGAAAGTAAAAGAGAAAGTAGAAAAATTTACCAAGCTTAACTTACATATAAGTCCTAGATCTAATATAAGTCATTTAATTTATCCTTAAAACTTAAACTATTAAAACTCCATTTTCTGGTCTCAAAGGTGACTTCTGCTTGTAACATTAAGTGCTAAGTGGTAGTTTCATACTTTCAAATACAAATTATCATTTTTAAAATTTAAAAAATTTTAAATTGGGAATCTAAATGGTATAAAATTCAAAGGGTTCAAAATGATATTTAGTAAAAACAAACTTTTCCTCCCCATTTTCCCAGGTCGCCCACTCTTCTCTAAGAGTCAACCAATATTAACAGATTTTTGATGTTTTGCTTAAGAGATGATCTACAAAACGCAAACTATTGAGGATTTATCATTTCTAATTTTGGCTTTGATATCGTAGATTTAGATTGGAAAGTTGTTTAAACTGGTATTTAGAATAATA